ACGCTATGTGTACCCGGATGGTGAGCAGCCAGGAGCCACTGGGAGGGACACTGACCCACAGCAGACACTGAGGCTGGCCTGGCCCCAGGGCCCCTAAGCCCACCCAGGAAGCCCTGCTGTCGCTGTGCCCTCGCCCGCGGCTCTCCAGCACGGGCGCTGAGGACGGCCAGCAGGTGGGAGGCCCGGGCTTGCTCTCTGGGGATCAGGGCAGCCCTCCCCTCAGCCCGGAGGCCCTGTGCTCCACTCAGGACGGGGCATCCCCATGCACCATGCCTCAGCACCCCACACAGACTGCAAGCAGCTCCGGCACCTGCCCAGGCCTGTCTGGCTGCCGTGGGCACCAGGGGAGGCGCTGGGCTCGGGGCAGGGGTCCCAGCCTGGGCCCCTCATGGAACAGGGCTGTGCCCAGGACGGGCGGCTTGGGGTCCGTACCAGGAGACACTGGGCCAGGCTAGGACTGGGTACAGGAATCCCTCTGGCCCCCTCCCTGGGCCTGAAAGGGTCCTGAGTCCTGACCTGAAGTCACTCGGAGCCAGGCTTTGGGGGGAACAGTGGCAGCCTCTCGTTGCCTAGCGCACACAGCCCAGGGCACGGCAGACCTGACGCCCTGGGGCCCTGAGCCAGCCTGTCTTCTGCAGTGTCCTCACCAGTGCCTGCCGCAGCTGTGGGCACCATGGTCCCAACAGGTGTGTTCACACACTCACTGACCCCTCCTCCTGGCTCTGTGCCCTGGGTCCCTCCAGGCAGGCCTGTGACCACAGACCTGCACTGTCCCTAGTTAGCACCAGCATTAGAGCCACTGTGGGGCCACAGTCCACCAACAGACCAACCCATCTAGTTTCCCTGGCTTTGCCGCTTATGAACAGGACGTCTGTCCACCCTTCCTGGGGACCTTGCCTATTTGGGGCAGCTGGTATCTCCCTGACTGGGACCTGTTGGGGGAGTCTCCTTGGGCTGGCCAGCAGTACAGCTGGGTCATCCTCTGGGCACACCCTGGTGCTCAGAAGTGGCCCTCCTGGCTGGGGCTGGAGTGGCTGGTCCAAAACAGCTGAAGAGCTGGCCTCTACCTGAGGGCTGGCAGGAGCCAGGCAGGATGGCGGGTGTCTGTCAAAACAAGTTCCAAATCCCAAGTGGTGGCACCCAAGGCGGGCTGAGTGGGGAGGCAGCCAGGTGTCTCCAGGGCCCAGGTTGCCAAAGCCCACTTCAGGCCTCCAGGCTCAACGGCTTCTAGAAAACACGGAGCCAGGGACAGGGCAGGCTGAGCTGCTTTACTGGGCAGCGGTTAGTGCCAAAGGCCTTGGGGTCAATCAGCCTGAGCCCCAAGAAAGTTACGTGGCTTCTCGGGGCCTTGATTCCCTCATGTGTGAAATGGGTCTGTACAGGCCCTCTCTACAACATGCTGACCAGACAGTGACCGGAAGACAGGCATGGTGACTGTCAGCTTCCGGACACTGCTACCCGAGAGGGCTTGCACCGGCCTCCTCAGGCCTCTGGGGTGAGTGGGGACAGGGCCTGAGGCTGCCTGCTCCTCTCCTGGCAACCTTGGGACAATTGTGGCTGTTCACATTCTCGTGAGTGATGAGAAGAGACCCGGGAGGCTGAGCAGAGGGCCCCACTTGGAGGGACAGGCAGCCTGTCCTGTGCAGATGGCCCTGTTGAATGGCAGTTCCCTGGTGCCCCAAAGCCTGGTCCTCATGCTGGGCCTGATGAACAGCTTCTTGTTGCAGAGCGGAAACTGAGGACTACCTTGGAGACCCCTGCTGAGCCACATGGTGGCTTCTGTGCCTGGAAAGGACAGGGCACAGAGAACCTTCTAATCTGGGGAGGGGCAATGGGCCAGGTAGCTTCTGAGTGGCACCCTAAGCTCAACTAAGGAGCACATGTGGGCGGCTTCTGGGACTAGCCAGAACCACCTCTTCTGGATCCTCCCCTCAAAAATCTGTGCTCGCCATCCTGGCTCTGGCCGCACAGTCCGTTCCTGCTGAGGGCCAGGGTGGGGTGAGGTTCCTGTGCAGGCCCAGGGCTGTGGGAGCCCCTCAGGCTGGCAGGCAGGCTGCCACCCCAGAGCAGGGGAGTCACAGGACAGCTGCAAGCCCCCTCTGACCTCCAATCCCAATACTGGACCTCTGGGCCCACCCTCCTCTGCCAACAAGGCTGCATGCACTCCAAGTCACCCTCCACCCACCCTACCCACCCCAGCATGGTGGGCGAGAAGCGCGCCCACAGGGGTCTTCTGAGAACCCAATTAGGGCCAGCAGCCAGGTACCGCTCAGTGGTGACAACAGAGAACCAGACAGTGGCAGTCCCTGCCCCCAGGGACCCCAGTGAATGAGCAGACACAGGACAAGCCACAGAGACGGGAGGCTGGGCAGGTGCTCAGGGAACACCTGTGGCCCGAGACAACCTGCCAGCACAGGTAGAGACCCTGCTGGCCGCGGCCGTGATTCAGCAGGGCTTGCCAGCTCCACCCTCTGTGCAGCACCCGGGCCCAGAGGGCTGCCTGCTGCAGTGGCCTTGGCTCGGCTGCCACCCCAAGCCTGCTTCCTCAGAGGCAGCTGTGGTCATCACTGCCTGGCCAGGCTGTCCAGCAAAGTACACCATACCTCCCACAGAGCCCAGTTCCTCAGACAGTGTCCCCTTCTCAGCTGGGAGGCCACTGATGGCCATGGGCTGCTCTCCTCCTCCTAACCTTGGGGAGGTGTTGGGTGCCCCTCCAAAGGCTGGGCCACCTGAGCCCAGTGGGAACACCAGCAGGCCTCCGGCTTCAGGCCCACATCCTCTGAGGAGAGACCTCTTCCCCAGTAAGGCGCTGGCCCCCAGGATCCAGGGTACCCGGGAGGACCCTGCCACCAGGAGCCACCAGAGGGCGCCCGGTCCTAGGAGGCTGAGCCTGGTGGCACAGAGCAGGAGGGGATGTGGGCTTGGCTGTCCCTAGGACTGCCACTCCCCTGGGAGGTCACCCTGTTCCCCTGGACTCACATGGCACATACAGTCTCTCCACGGTCCTGTGCCTCGTGGAGTGCTCTCATCTTTTGGGGACCGTAGCAGGGTACAGTCATGGAGCTTCTGGGGAGAGCGGCAGGCCCTCAGAGACAAAAAGCCCAAAGCCCACCCCATCTTACATGCCGCAGGAGGATGCACTTGAGCCAGAGCAGGTTCCAGCCCATGGCCAGTGTGACCCTGGAGACAGCGCAGGCAGCCACATGTCCAGGCTGAGGGACAGCACCCATCACAGACATCAGGCAATTGCTCTGCATCCCTAACCCAGTGCTCCCCATACCTGGGCAGCAACATCCAGGTCAGTCCACCCCACCTCTCCAGCCTGCCCTCTCTGCCCTTGGCAGCTGCCCACTCTGCCACTCTGTGTCTAACTTTGAACAGCAGCAAGTTCAGGAGATCCCTGGGGAGGTGCCAGCTGAGGGGCATGGATGTGTTCACCAGGGCTGTGGCTTGATGGCTTCTCAGGAGAACACCCTCCAAGCCCCCAGGCTGGCGTCAGGGAGCCGCTGCTCAGCCACTGGGGTGTGTGTGCCGGGGGGGGGGGGGGGTCCACAGAAAGGCCAGGATGGGAACAAGTTCCTGTGTGGGCAGAGCACTAGCCAGCCTGTGCCAGGCCCCTGTGCTGCCAGGCACCCAGGTGTGCCACCTCTCAGACAAACAGAACCAGAGAGGTACAGGAGGCAGGCTTGAGGATGACAGGCACTGTCTCCAGGAGGAGCACAGGAGGCCTGTCCTGGGGACCGAGAGGGGCCCTGTCAACAGAGTCAGGCTGAGGGGAGGGCTGTGGGCTGTGCCCCTCCTGTGAGGCAGAGGTCCAGAGCCTGGCCGCCTCCTCTGCCTCCACGCCATGGAGGATGCTCTTAGCTCTCATTCAGGATGCCACAGTGTGGTGGTTCCACACTCCCCAGGTCACCACTTGAGTTCAGCCCCTCCAGGGCACGTCCTCACCCCCAGGGTCTCCAGAGGACCCTGGCCTGCTCTACCCTGGTCACCGGGCTCCAGAATGCTTCGTGGACCTAGGGAGGCTCCTCATGTTCTTGTGAAGCCTGGGATCTGGGCGATCCTGAGCACAGTAGGGTCCCACAGTCCCAAGCTCACATACAATTCTATCCGCCAAGCTCCTCCAGCCGCCAGGGAAGGGAGGGGAAGGGCAGTCCAGCAGGCAGCTGCAGGGATGAGGCCGCCGCCAGGAGGGCCGCTCTTCTTACAAAGAGATGACGAGGCCCCTGGGCGGGATCCAAGGCGCCGACCACCTGCAGCTGGGCTCGCGGCTTCGGGCGGCCCCAAGTGCCGCGAGGACCCGTTCGCGGGGGCTGGGCTCCAGCGGGCACAAGTTCCTCGCAGGAATCCCTGCGAGCCACGGCCCGGGTCGCACAGAAGCGCACAGCCGGCTCATCACTTCTCCCACCACCACTCAAGAGAGGATCTGCCCACAAAACCCACCTAGGCTGTCGCTGTTGGGGATCCGCGGGAATCCCTGGGCAGGACCCCTGACTCTCCCGGCGAGGTCCACAGTGGAGTCTAGTTTTAGATCACGGTCATCTGCGCCCGAAAGCCCCACCGCGCCGAGACCCGGCAGCGCCCAGGCAGCCCGCTCCGCAGCTCCCGCTCGCCCCGTGGCGAGGGTGGCCGGCGCGCTGCCCGAGACTGGGACTGCCGCCCTGCCAGCACACTAGGCCGAGCAGGCTGCTCGGAAGGAGCGCTCCGTGCGGGGGGGGGGGGGCAGCGAGAAGAACTCGAGGAAGGGACCAACACGCCTGTTGGGGGTTGGGGGACGACCAGGCCAAGCCGAAGTATGGGGAGAGGACCGTGGGGGTAAAGGCGAGCGGGCGGGGGGCGCTGGGGGTCACTCGGAGCCCAGGCGGCAGGGCGCAGGCGGCGGGCTCCAGCGCCTGGGTCGCGCAGTGCACACGAGAGGGAGGGCAGGGGGCGCAGAGGAGACCTCTGGTGCTCTGGGGTCGGGGACCCACAGCTGGGCCCTGCGCCGCGCTCTCACTCACCCGAGATCTCCGCCTGGGGCACATCGCTCAGGCTGAAGCCCTTGGCCCCGTAGATCTGGCGGACTTCGCTGCAGCTCCGGCTCTTGCTGGCAGGGTCCCCGCAGGCGCAAGCGACGAGCGCGGCGGCCGCGCACAGCAGCCACCAGCCTCGGGCCCGCAGATCCATGGCGGGGCCGGCGGCGCCCCCGGCCGCCCGCGCGCGCCTCTCTCGGATCCCGGCTAGCCCCACGCAGTCCCCGCCCGGGAAGGGCAGAGCCAAGGTCCTGGCGCGCACCGCTCGCGGTCCCGAGGCGGCGGGGCTGAGAAGGCGGAGACAACAAAAGCCGGCTGGGGCGCGCGGGGCGCGAGGTCCGGCCGCTCGGTCGGGCCGCCCAGAGCGCGGCGGGCGAGCGCGCAGTCCCAGCTCGGCGCCTCCCCCGCCGCCGGCCCGGCCCCTCGGCGGCCGCGGAGAGGGGCGGGGCGGGGCGGGGAGCGCAGGGAGGGAGGAGGGGAGCACCCGGCGGGGCGGGGCGGGGCGGGGCGCGGCACGGGGGCGCGATCCGGGCGCACGCTGCGCTCCTTGGCTCGGAGGGGACGCGCAGGCCCGTCCTGCCCGCGCAAATCTACTGATCGCTGGGGTGAAGCGGAAAGACCCTGGGAGCGCTAAGGCTGCGTCCCAGGTCCCCGAGGGCAGGCCCCTATACCCAGCGCCCAGGGCGGAGACACCACCTGTGGGGGTGGGGGCGTGGGCGGGGGGGCCGCTGAGGCAGGGCTTCCCCCGCCGGACGTGACATCACGCCCTCCACGCGCCAATCAGGGTCCTCCCCGCCCCCAGCCGAAATCAGCACCCCTCCCGGCTTCCCCATGCCTAGCTCTGCCCGGCTTCACGCACCCTGGCCTAGCGCCGTGCACCGCGGCTCCCGCAGCGCCCGCTCGCCTCTGCCGCGCTGCGCACCTCCGTCCGCCGCCGGCCTCCTCGCCTGCACGCGGTGCCAGTCGTCTCTCCCCCGTCCTCTCCAGGAGCCTTTCCTCGCCCCAGTTCACACCTGATTTTTTGTGGGGGAGGGTGGGAGCTGTTCGCGGGAAACTGGCCAAGAAACTAGCCCTCCCCGGCTCTTAAGTCTGCGTATAGGCAGTCGTTGGAGATTGTCCGCGGTGTTTGGTCCCCTCCTCGTGACTCTGGGTGCTCGAGAAACAAAAGCGACGGGGCAGAGGAGGGTCTGTAGGCTTGGCGGCCGGTGGCGGCCAGTGACCTCTGGAGAAGGGCTGGGTTGGACCTACAGGTCAGGTTGTGGAGGAGTGAGGGCGGGTGGGCTCCCGGCAGGGTAGGCAGTGCCCTTAGCTGTCAGTGGAAAGGGAAGTGGGGGTGCCAAGGCATCCCCCATTAATTAGTGCTGGTATCTGAGCGGCTTCTCCATTTCTTCCATGCTGTGGTCCCAGAGACCACCGTGACCTGGGCCAGTCTATGAACCCATCGCTGGAAATGGGAGGAGAACACAAAAGTTGGCACCTTTAGTACCCGTAGCTGGGGTTCCCTGCCCCACCCCCAGAGAAGACTGCCCCCTGGGTAGAGAACTGAGTCACTGCTTGAGAGGTAGCCGGCCGAGATCTGCCCTCCCCCACTGTCCCGCCTCTGTGTCACTTTTGCCACTTACAGAGCCCTGTGCTGCATGCTCAGGCCAGCTTCTCCTTGCCGGGGCCTGGCGGGCTTCCCTTCACCTGCCTGAGGCCTGCCTGGCTCCTCCTCCCTCACAGCTTCCCAGGCTCCCTGCCTCCCTGAGGTTGGGGAGTCTGACCTCTCCCACAGGCAGCTGCATCAGGAGGACCCAGCTGCTCTAGGAATCCAGACGTGAGGGTAACCCATTGTTCCAGGTTTCCTTTTATCCTGATGAGAGAGCGAGTCCTCAGGGCAGGGGCAGTGTCCAGGTCATTTCTGGACCTGTGGACAGCAAATCTCAAGGATGTGATGATCACAGCTATGGTGCTGGCGCAGTGACCCCTCCCCTAGAACATCCTTAGCACCACCTGCCAGGTTGGCGCCTTGCCACCCGCGGGTCTCAGGACTGGCCCCCAGAGAGGAAGCCCTGCTCATTCTGTGCCCATTCCATCAGGGGAACAGGCCTCTTGGAGAATGGCCCTGGGTGAGGAGACCCGAGGGCCACATGTGTGGCTGGTGCAGGACCCCAGCTGCCTTCCCTCCCTGGCTGAGGGTCAGGGGCTGTTGCTGTTTTCTCCCTTTGGTCTCCTTGGTGTCGGGTGGCTTCAGGGTGCTTAGCCTTAACCCGTGAGGGAGTGCCAGGCAGGGCCAGGGCTGGCCCTGGAGAGGAGAAACAGTCCCAGCCACAGGTGGGCTGGCCTTCAGCTTCATGTCCCCATCTTCCAGGAAGATCAAAGAGAGGTGCTGAGCTCAGTGAGATGTTTTCCCTGCTGCCCCTGTGACCTGGCTCTGGATCCACTTCTGGGAAGCCCACTCCCAGAGACCAGAAAGTCTTGCTTCTCCAGCATGTTCATGACGTCACTGCAGGATGTCCTGTTGTAAGGGTCAGTCCTGGTGGCAGTGGAGTGCACGGGGATGGGAGCAGTACATCTAGGCAGCTGGGGTCAGAGGGCATGAGGTGGGGTCAGGTCATGGCACTGACCAGCTGGGCACACAGGAGGTGTGGTGTCCTGGGGGACTGCAGAAGACATAGGTCCCCACACCTTAAAGGGCCGGCAGCAGCCTGAGGGAAGATGTGTCCAGTGGAGAGGAAGTGGCTCCCAGGAACAGCCCAGTGCCCCTGGGCAGCAGGGGAGCAGGCTGGGACCTCCATACCAGAAATCTTTCTGCAAAGGATGACTGGGATCCTTGCTGGAAGGAAGGAGGCCCTGAGCAGGTCTGCAGGGCTTGGTAACAGGAGGAGAAGCTGCCCAGGGGTCTTTGCTGGCCTCTGAGGACACAGCCTCCAGGTGCCAGGGCGCTCTCCACCTCCTTTTCACGCTTGGGAAACACAGTGATAGGCCATCTGTGGTCCCTCCAAGGGACCTCAGCCCAGCACAGTCCCTCAGGGTGGCTCCCGTATGGATTCTGGGAAGTGGAGACTGGTCCCTGCCCGGCTGGAACACTTAGTAGGTCTCTGAAATGTCCCAGTCCTGGGCCATGCCCCCAGTTCAGAGAAGCAGGGTTTGAAGTCTAAACTCTGGGGCGCACTGGTGGGTGGGCATGGGATGCCCCAGGGTTCTCAGGACACAGAACATGGAGGCCACTCTTCTCGAGGGTGGTCCTGTGCCCCCCTTCAAACCCTTGCCCCAGGGCACTCAACTCCGAGGCAGAGTGCTTTGGCAGCCGCTCTGCTCTGCTGAGTCCTGAGACCCTTTGATCAGCTGAAGTCTGGGCAAGTCTTCAGGGAAGGTCCGCTCAGAGAGCGGCTGGGCCACCCACACGGGCCGCCTTTGTCCTCTCTGGGCCTGACGCCTGTCTCTCTGGTCTGAGCACCCTGGCAACAGGAGATGACCCCACACAGCCATGCCAGCTGGGCGCAGCAGCCCCGGGCTGTTTTTCTGCCCCCTGGTTCTGGCCCTGGGCCGGGTTCTGGGGAGGAAGAGGAAGCCTGAGTGTTGGGCTGAACTCTGCACACGACTTCCCAGCACAGAGACGGGTAGGCAGCCACCATGGACACCGCTCAGCGGTCTGCTCTTCTTCCTGGGAGCTTCTGCTGGCCCTCTGTCCCCCTCTTCCCGCCTGGACTTTTGCTGGCTCTGGTCTTTGTCTTCTGCCATCCATGTGACCCGGATGATCTTTCTAACCCAACTTCCGTCCCAAGGCAGCAAGGACCTGCCTGTGGATGAGGCCAGGATCCCTGACCTGCATGTGAGAGCAGCCTGCCCAGGTGGAGAGGACCGTTCCCCTGCCTGACTCCCGTTCCAGCCTCTGCCTACACCTTTCCCTCAGATAAGGATGACCTGAGGCTGCTTCCGGCTCCGGAAGTTTGGAGTCCAAGGGTTTTGTGCAGACAGGGCTCCTGAACTTGAGGGGCCTGAAGGTCTTCCTGTGCCCTTGGTGGGATGGGCAAGTCTGTCAGCAGGCCTGGCCTCAGGGTTTACTCTGTCCCCCAAACAGGAAGCAATTTCCAGAACAAGGCCAATTGAAAGTGTCCTCTGCTGTGCTCTAAGTGAAAGGACCCCCCCCTTTGAAGTGCTGGCCATGAAGGACAGGTGCTGCTGGGGCACTAGCCCACCTGCCCACCCCCCACCCCAGAATAGGGTCCAGCATGAGGCCCGCGGGAGCCTGGATTCTAGTTTTCAGCCCGTGGAACCAGCCACTTGTGGCTCTGGAAGCCCTGCTGTGTGTCATCTCCAGTTTTGCAGTTCAAGTTGGCATCGATGGGCTCCCGGTTCTCTGTGTGCTTCCTGTGCCTGCTAGAGGTGACGCCACCCCACAAGAGCAGAGTCCAGTGAGCTGGACTGGGTTGCCACCTGGCCTCCCTCTACCCCGCTCTCTTGCTCTGTGTCGTCAGAGCTCCTGCAGGGGGTGCACCTCATTCACCTCATGCACCAAGATGCCACAATGCATGGCAGGTGGCCACTGGACAAAGACCACACGCTGCCCTGAGTGCTGGGGGAAGGAGAGCCCCTCCCTGTGGCTGTGCTGGATGGTGCTGCTCCCGCTGAAGTTGCAAAGGGGTGCTGGGCTGGCCTTGCCAGGGTGGGGGCCAGGCAGGGACTCCCCTGTCAGTCAGCCACAGGGGAGCAGAGAACAAAAGTGGGCACCTGCCCCTGCTCTGAGTTCAGGAGCCCAGGCCTGGTAGCAGGGGAGCTGAGGCCTTGGTGGCCCTGGCTGGCAGCCCACAGGCTGGAAGGGTCCCTGCCCACCTGGCTGAGGCGGACCAGGTACACATTGGGTCCAGGCTGGCCCACAAGGCTGGCCCGATCAGCTGTGCTGTGTGACGCTGGCCTGGGTGGGGGCTCACTGGGCAGAGCCTTTTCCTGAGGGTGGATGCTGCCAGGGCCCAGGGAGCAGGAGGCTGAGTCCCCAGGAGGGAGGCCCTGGCAGGCTGTGGCTCCTGGAGGGAGGCTGGGCTCTCCGTGCCTCCCTGTGAGCAGTGGCACCAGCTTGGCCTGAACCAGGACTCTGCAGTTGTCAGGCCACAGCCCCTAGGGGAAGGGGAGCCACTGAGGCCTGAGGAAGGAAGGCGTGAAGCCTTCTCCAGGGACAGGAACAGGCTGCCTGGTCACTGGGAGGGGCAGGGGCAGTTGGTCTCATCCCATCCTGCAGCCACAGTGGGACCAGAGGTGAAGGGTGGCCTGGCCTTTGCAATTGTTTACAGGCAGCTTCAGGCCAGGAGCCGGTCCGAGGAGCAGGTCTGGAGCAAGACACAGCGGGGAACTGGGCAAGGAAAGAGTCTGCTGACCACAGCCTGTGGCAGTGGCCT